TGTACATACCGTGATTATTTTTCTAATTGTCTGAATATTGAATACCCAAAGAGTGAATTTTTTTTATGGTGCCATTCAATAGATGATGCCAAATTGTATTTATTAATTCAGACACATACATAGATAGATACACAAATACACACACTGCATCCATTATAGTAAAGAAGGTTGAGTTGACTGGCAAGTCCAAGGCCAATGTGTTCTAAGTCTACATTGCATGGTAACCCAATCAATAAACTTCATCTAATAAGGGACACTATGGTCAGAAAAGAGAGCTATCAAATGAGGATAGGAGTCAAATAGCTAGAATCTTTTGGGCTAGCAGATCTTTGACTATGAATAATTGATGACTAACTTTAATAATGGTCCATGAACATTCATTTCCACAAGAAAAATTAGTAGGTAGTTGAATGAAATGAACTTTTGTAATTGTGTCCCATATGTAAACCACTAATCACAGTCAACAATTGAAAGAAACATAACCAGTATGGCCCAGGTTTGGATTGTTGTGCAATGGTAGTGTGTAATGTAGTCAGATAAATAAAACTTCACATTGTTCTGCAACAATGGTAGGATTAGTGTGTTGATAACTCAAAGAAGCTATGGATCTATAAATAAATAAATAATGTTAAACTTCATCTATTTTGGACCATATTTAAACGTTGCTCAATGTGGTTGAAGTCCTCAATTGCAGTGGCCTGGTACAGTACATACTATGTGACATAAATACATATTTGTTATGTATTATAAATGATTTATTTAACATAGTATAATTACATAGTTATATGATTTTGGTAATGGTTAGTCACTTTTGCACTGATACAGTTTCCTTTTCATTGTTAGGAAAGCATCTTCTATGATTCTGTACAACTAAAAGGATGAATTGTTTGTTTTTCTTTCTTTGTTATGATGGCATTATATTCCTCAATAAGAGCCACACCCCTTTCAGCATTGTATTTTACCACAGTCAAGTGTTGAACTGTCTGTAGTGCCTCCCTATAGTCCTCTCTGAGCTTCCGTGACTCTGGATCATAATCCAGAAATCCAGATGGAATTTCAACACATTTGAAATATATTTGTTATGTTCTTTGTGAGGAAATCTTCAACTGACATGTCCTCAGACTTCCTGATATTCAGCTGGATGCATTTCGGTGGTTCATCCATGCCTTCCTTCTCATTTAGTGCCTTTACCATTGCTTGTTTTGTCTCTGTGGATACAGCTGAATCAAAGAATGCTAAACAAAAGAGTTCCTCGCTGAGATACCACAAATGTGCAGCAAATTTCTAATAAGCAGATTTTGAAAGAGCATAATTCACCTTCTTATACTTAACAATACATTGTAAGAAGTTAAGATCATTGTGAGGAGCAGAAATGGCATCAGGAGCAGTGAACCATGTGCTAAGATAGACTTGAACAACAATAATGTAGGTGTCATAGAGTCCTCCTTCTTCACAGCCATTGAGCTTAAACTGTCCCATAAACATTCAGATCTTGAGGGCACATAATGTCTTGGTCATCCATTGTGTGTGATGCAGTGCTCCAGGTGCTATAAATTGCACTTCATGAGAAGAGATACCACTAAGAAAGGTTATAGGTTGTTCAAGAAGCACTTGATAATTGTCTCTAAGTTGGATGACCTGAAATTGTCTTGCAGAAATTCTAGAATCTATTGTCATGTCATACAGAATATTTCAGAAGTAAAAAGTGACAGCTGGATTATTTATATATGGAATATTCTTGAACATTATGAATAATGTAGAATAATCTGGAATATTCCAGAACCTTTCAAAATTAGTATATCCTGAAATATTCCAGAATATGCTAGAACATTCCAGAACCTTTCAAAATTAGAATATTCTGAAGCATTCTAGAATATTCAGAATATGCAAATATAATGTAAGCTACAAGATAAAATTTCTATCTTGAGCAACCCCTAAATGTTATTCAGTATCAATAAAATCTGTTGTGATTTACTTATTGATATATTGGAACAAAATGAGGGGATGAAATTGTTGTAAATTAAAATTTAAAAAATAAGGACTACCCTAAGGTGACATCCTGTAATGCTCTACGTTTACCCAAAAGAAGATGGTTACTTCCAGGATGATGAAGCCATCAGTCACAGAGATAAAGCTGTTTGTGATTTGTTTACTGATATTATAAGACTTCCAACATTTATCATGGCCTGCACAGTTCCTTGATCTCAATTTAACCCAAAATCTACGGGATTTTTTAGAACAAGTTATCAGAAGACATAGGCCATTGCCATCCACTCTATCTAGAATGGGGACAATAATGATAAAAGAATGGTCAAAGATTGAAACAGATACCTCCCAGACATTAGTTGAGTTCATACCAGAGTGTAATCAAAGCACATTCTGGCCTGATAAGTTATTAGACTTTAGTTTCTAATATTTTTGCCAGTAAGTGTACTTACAATGCTTAAGTATATACTTCATAAGTTCATAAACAAAATGAAAACACTTATATATTTAAGTAGCTCTGTATGACTAGTAAATGAGAAAAGTCTTAAAAAATGAGCAATAAATAATCAAGTGGAAGATCTAAATAAAAGTATGAAAGAAGTGTATAATTTCAAACACAGAAAATGTTTACAAAAAAATTTGAATTTTTCTTTTAAAAAAAATATTACAACAATCAGGATATTTCAGACACATTCAAACCATCCAAAATTGTAATAATCAAGTAAAACCATTTTGTCTAATAATGCAAAGTAAAAATGTAAGTTAGCATACTTGCATGCACATTTTACACACAATTTACTCAATACAGGTGACCATATGGATCACATAATACATTTACAGCTTTTTAATATTGCTGTTAACTTTCTTAATGGGAAAGTCAAAGAACTTGAGATCCTAACATAAAACATTCAATAATGCCTCATCTCTGATAGTCCTGATCCTTGACAATGTCCACCAACACTATCTACGAAAGCATATTTATGTAAATTGTTAAAAATTTCACCTGATTCTTCTCAGAAGTTTCCCATAGTCCATAAATTACAGGTAGTTACCTCTTCCCTCAAACTCTCTTTAATAATCCAAAAGCATATAATGGATCATATGTACCATAAATGTATTTGAAAATTTAATTACTCTGCTTTCAGTTTTATCTTAGATCATCTGAAAAAAAAACTAAAGTAGATTTTTTGGTTCAATGAGGCTTGTATTAATTGCGATCATAAAAAAAAAAATTTCATAGGGAAACTGCTTTTAATGTTATTTTTGAAGTACAAAAAACTAACTTTAATTAATATTAACTTCTGATCAAAGAAAGCTACTTACATTGCTCAGAACTAAAAATAAATACCCCAGAATGAGTGTAGCTAATTAAATATAATGTTCAAACTGCATTACTTATTATGATTAAAATGCATTGTTTCATCAGTTGGGTACCCTTGTTGTTAAGAATATTTTAAAGGAAAAGATTTTCAACTTGCTATTTAGTTTAATATGGTGATGATAATAAAGTTATTGATGTGAAAGAAACCTTTTGGAATGACTTCACACAGATAGGTAATGTTGTGATCAGTGACCCTGTTTAACAAGGTTGAATGTTCTCATAAAAGCCACTTTTACCTTTCATATATTCCAGTTTGAGTTGTTACAATATTAATACTTCAAAAGTACCAAATTTATGTAAAAAAAAAAAAAACAACAACCTAGAAGTATTTTTCTATTTGTGCTTAGATTTTGCAATTTCGATGTGTTTCACTAGATTCTATCAGTTTTCTTTGTACTGATCAACATACCTTATTTTGTGTTGGCTTTCTTTTAGCCTTATTCTTAAGAGGTTCTTCCGTCAGTGATGGATCATTTTTTAATGTTGCTGATGCAACTTCTGCAAGTAAGTCTAACAAAGGAACTGAACCAAAGTGTTTGCTGCATGACATAGTTGCCTCTTCTGAATTAGCTTCTTCTTGATTAATTAATGTCATCTGACTTTCAGACTTTGCACATCCTGAGCAGTTTGAGGTTTCTAAAACGATCAAGTATATCTTGGTAAATGAAACTCTTAGTTAACAAATCCTTATATATGTTTAACATATCTTACTACCAATATCTTGAAAAAATCATCAATGTCATTAAAGCTTAAGAAATAGTTATTATTGACAGTTTCACACAATACAAGGAATTAATGAAAAGAAACTTTTTGATGGTGTTCAAAATTATAAAATTACATGAAAAAACTTGTACATAATGTCTATTTCACTAAATACAGCATAAACATTCTATAAGTCACTATTTTGATAAATTTGGTTTCATATGGTTAAGAACAACTTATAATAGAAAAAAAAATATAAAAGTTTCAGTTGCTTAAAAGTTTTTCTTTATGGATTGCTTCAAAAACTTCATGAAAAATATAAAGCTGTCACAACACTTAATCATATTTTTACTAAGTAAGCACTAATACAATAAGTATACAACAAACAATGACCAAGAGTTTGTTGTCTTTGTAATATTCATATCAACTTAATTCATATTCTTCGATTTTATGTCTAGAATAATTGTTATCATCCACAACAGCAAAACTGTTTATCACTTTTTATCAACTTGAAGAAAACTACTGTCTAGTATAATATCAGGGAGTACATCTTACACAACAAATTCAAGTTGTGAAAAATGTTCTTGATTAATTATTACTTTGTACATATACTCAGTGACATGCACAGAGTGGTGGTTGGGTGTGCTCAAGCCTCTGCCTTTCTGCTCTTATGCCCCACAAAGTGCCCTTTTTTTTTTCTGTCATACAAAATGTTCCTAACTATTAAAAGACACACGTAACTACCCATAAACCAGAAGCAATTCACAGTCTCCATAGTCTCCTCTAACACCTCCACCCACCAAAAAAATCTTGTCTTTCGATGCTTGAAAAGTACCCTTTTTGTTAATAAACCTCTGCACATTATTGCATTTACTGATTATGATTTATTTTAGTATACTGTTGTATAGTTATTACAGAGTAAATGAAGTTTCTTGTCCCAACTGAATGACTAGGCCAACAATGACAAATCAGAGGTCACGAAACTGAAGTGTTAATACTAATGAATGAATTTCAAGTGGTAATAAAGTATTTTATTACTTGCACAAAATTGTTAAGAAAATTTAGTATCCATTTTACCAAGTCTTAAAATGTGTTTAACCTTACTGACTTTTAACTAGAAATGGTGAAAAAATAATCACTGTCAACTGTGAAAAAAAAAACATCGAAAAGCTCAAATTATCATAAATATTTTCAAGCATTGTCATAGATATCAAAATATTCATAAACAAAATTACAGATACACTAATTTTTAATATTAAATGTCATTTGTCATGTTACTAACATGTTGTGCATGTAAAACACTATATTGCAAGCATATTTTAGTGAGAAAACTTAAGAATTATAGTAATGGGAATAAATTGTTATAACTTTAACAGGAAATAAATAAATACATATTTATTTTATTTTATGATCAAAATACTGTTTGATATGCAAATTCTTATCTTGCAAAATGAAATTTGGGATACAATAACTGGATGTTTGATCATTGTTATAACATACAAGTAATGTCCAAAACACATTTAGCTACTAGAATTTAACATATACTTTGTCACTACATCATTTTGAAAAATTTATGCTACATATAATGTTGCATCACATGGTTTTTAATCCAAGATTAATAACTTGAATAAATTTCTGTCTTTAACATGTCCTGTATGAAACATTTTTCACATGCATGTTTTTCTCATAAAGCAAAGACAGGACTTTGAAACTAATCATTCATGTGTTAGATATATTTCTAATATATAACTATACAAACTACAAATCAATAATTGGAATAACGGAGATAAAATATATTAATCAAACAGGGTATGTTTTAACAAATATGTGACATTTATCTATATTAATGTAATATAAACATAAATTTAAAAAGTTCTACCAAACAAACTTTTTTTAATTTCAATTCTTGATCTTTTATAAGCAATAAAGTTAGATTTCTGACATTTCATTTACGTGGATGCACCACAGGAATATGAAATGACTTTTGATCTATTTTGGCATTTCTAAAATAGTACATAACTAAATTCTTCTGAGGTAACCTATAAATGTTGGAAAAACATTATCACTATGTGTTACCAAAAATGCTTTTAAATGATTTACAAAAACTGAAGCTTTATTAAAATGCCATACTATTAAATACTTCAAATAATGAAAATTAAAAGTTTAAGATCTGGAGTTTTCTTTCTTCATTAACAATATGCATCCTAAAATAAGATTGTTATATATATATATATATCTAGTCATCAAACAGGATTCTTTGTCACATTAGAAAAATATATAAAAAAACTTTATATGAACCAAATCTCACAGATGCAGTTAATAACTATAAGAAATAAAAAGTTCCCAATTGAACTTGTAATTTCAAGTTTTTCTGTAGTTGTTTTTACTCAAAGTATTGCAATACAAAGTTACTACGCTGTGGTGATAAACAACTTTGTACAACATTTAAACATGAATGACATGGTCAAACCAAGGCATTATGATTCAATTTATAATTCACAAATCATTATAATAATATCAAGCATTCCACATTATGGAAAAAACTACATCCTGAAGAATATTTTATAAAAATAAATGTTTATATAAAAAAACATGATGGAAAAAGCAATAAGTAAGAAAACTATATAGCTGAAATCCAAATTAAATATGCTGCTAAATATATGTATTTAATATAAATGTAATTAAAATGTACTTTTTCATCTTGACATTTTTATTTTGTACCTAAACAAGTATTCCCCAAGTTTATTGTACTTATTCTGATCTCACAGTACGAAAAAGCAATTAATAATGAAAAATATATATTATTACATTACTTATTCTGCATTTTACGTTTTAACTTCAGAACTTATGGGATCAAACTTACTTTTTAATATACTTTTGGTTTTACTATACTCCTACTGATAAGTGCCTAAACTACAGTACATATTTTTTCCTATTATCACAGCTACAAGTATCATTGTGTGAAAATAAGAGTAACACTTAACAGACATGGATGATGGAGATATAACGTTTAGTTGTGGTTTTGTAATAAATTGCATCTTAAGGCCTAATAACAATTAAATTATCATATTTTTTCCAAAGTTAATTTTCTTCAAGTTCATAGTTAATGGTTACTAAGTTATGAACATAATTGTAAACCCAGCAAAGTCTTGACTGTTGTTCATAAACTGATAAAGTTAATTAGTCTTAGGCCTACTCCTAATTTTAATAATTATTCAAGAATCGATCCTCAAAGTGACAAACATGTTGCCTCAACATCGAGTGTTCCAAATAACTATTTTGACAAACAAGTTTCTTTCTACAATTTAAAAACAGAATAAATACTAAAAAAGAAATATGACTACAAGTTATGGTTTTATTCTTAGGCCTAACTAACTTATGTAAGTAGTACTAGTACTAGATCAGTGTAAATAATGGCTCGCGCTCTATTACTGTTCAATCTATAGTATATACGTGAACCGTGCAGTAATCAGCATGGCTAAGCTTAATCCATAGTCGTTAGGTCAGTCGTAAATGATTGCAAACAAGAAATTTAGAATTATACAATATGCTCATATTGGTTACAATTTTTTTTACAAACAAATATATCTAAAAACAGCTTAACATGTCATAAGTGATCCTTCACAACCTGTCTCAACGTTATTGACGCTGGCTTCTCTTGCTGACGCCATCGTCTTGCTCGTTGTCTGCTACAATTTGTACACGCCAGACAAGGTCCTTTATTCGTGCCTGTAGTTTCTAATTATTAATTGCTTTTCTCCAGTACAGTTTCATTTAAAAACGAAGCAAAAGCAAAAACTTAGAGAAATAAAAGACCTTGATTCGAAGACTTATCGTAATAATTTTAAAAGCTATGAGTAAGTACATATAGCATTAATAATTAGATGCTTCCCAATCGATCGTCCGCACGTTTCAGCGCTTATTTCATACACAATCTCGAATAAGTTATTCAAAAAACTTTTGCATTTAAGAGTATTATATAACTAAAATTATATCCGTAAAAATATCATTATAAGTTAACTATTGAATCCTTTAAAATTTATTCCTTGCTATTTAATTCTTAAATAATATAAAGTGTTTGAAATTTCTCATAGGGGGCAACAATGACATAAGGAAAAAAGAAATCTTTTTTTGTTGTTGTTATTAATCGGTAGTTGACAGGTGTTAATAATTTTTTTCTTTCATTAGAAATGGTCCTATTTGTCAATGTTTATTTAAATATATTTACGGTTTGGATTTCATAAGTGTACAAAACTCAAATTCATTACAATTCTGAAAAATCGAAGCATTAAAGAGTACTAATAACTTGAAATTTCATTACGTGAATATTTCTTGCGCTAAACTATATTCTATAAAGCTACAAAAATGTTCAAATCTAATAACTTGAAGTTTAACAAATTAAACAACAAGTTATAAATACGAAACTGGCAACTTTCACAGATTACTTTAGAGGACGCATCATCCCAAGAAATGCCACTTGTTCCAGAAAGAGGTGCTTTACTTAGGTCACATTGTAAGTGAGCATGGTGAAATATGTATGGACTATTAAAATATATTCGTGAAGTAAATTACAAGGAAACATCAATCTGCATATATATATATATAAGCATTCCTCAATCCAACTAAATCATTATAGTAGCTGTCATCCAATAGATGCTGAAAATGGTTTAGTGTAAAGATAAAGAATTTCCGTATATACTGTTACGACAGCGGAAGTCACGTGACTCTAGTAACACGTCATGATATTCTAGTAGTATCATGTCTGTTCGTGAAAACTATGGTCTTTTCTACGCGCCCTCTATTCTTGTATATAAGTGCGCCAGATAAAGCGAAATTAATTAATCGGAATTGAATTGCAGACAGGCAGAGACAGAGATGGACAATTGAGTCAAGCGCGGTAGTAAGTATAATGTGTGAATCGTTCGTTGTGAATTATAGCGTGTGTTTAAGTTAAAGTGACTGTGGAATTTAAGTGTATTGCAAAGTTGCATTGAGAAAGAATAAACTTGTTTTATTTAAGAAAGGACTTGTATCGCTGAAGTTTCTCGGGAAGAATTACTACGGGAAATTAACAAACGAACACAGACGTAACAATACACACCTGCATACTTTCTTTACACCTAAAGAAAAAAGTTAGAATGAAAGGAACTTAGTTTTGTTGTAGAAACGTAGATTTTAGGTCCACAATTTTCAGAATTTGTTTTATGAATAATTTATGTTTAAAGACAAAACGCTAACATATGCAAGTAAATAGTTGACTCAACAAATATCGTTTTAAAATGTATATGTGTGTGTAAAATTCGGTTTAAAGATGCTTGTCAACGATGCCGATTGGCGACTAATGTAATGTGTGTCTAATGCATTTCTTACATCAGTTGTGGTCAAATATTTTGTAGGATGATTCTTTTAAGGAAAAAACAAGAAATCACTGAAATGGAAGGATATATTTTATAATTTCCAATGCTTCAACCATCCTTCACTTAAATTTCAGAGTTTTGCTTCTTTTCTACTACTTCTACTTTCACTTATTACAGTTCTTTTCTATCTTAGTTAGAATTATTAGTTTGGTTCAGATTCCTTTAGAATTAAGTTAGCTTGTATAATATACAGCAAAGTCACCACAGTATCTAATGTTTTAGTTAATATTAAATGTCTTCAATCGGAATAGCGTAGCAGTTATTAATTAAGGAATAACTCATTGTTCAGTCAGTGTGTAACTATTTTTAATTAGTAGAGTTGAAATTTATAATGGTGTTACGTCTCTGGTCGTTTGTTAATTTCCGGTATAAATTCTTCCCGAGGAACTTCAGCGATACAAGTCCTTTCT